CTTGTGCACACAGGCCGAGCTGCCCGAGGACTCAAACGATGGTCACCCTGAAGCTTCCAGCACTGCGGTCTGGTATACTGCTGACTGCCTCAGAGGCTGGGAAGAACTATACAATTTCAAATGGTTAAAGTGGCAAGTTTCATGTTCTGTGTGTTTTACCACAATGAAAAGAAACAGTCCAAGTGACAGAAAGTAGATTCGAGGTCGTATGGGGCTGGTGGGAAGGGGGGCATGGGGAATGATTGTTCATGGGTATGAGGTTTCCATTTGGGATGATGGAAGTGTTCTAAAATTATACTATGGTGGCAGGACCAGCAGATGATGTAATGGTTACATCGCTGGGCTCCCACGTAGCCGACTGTGGTTCAGGTCCCAGACCCAGCCATTTAAACTCACACCGGGCATGTGTGCGTGTGTGCACAAAATCCTGAAAGGAGAATGGAAGAGAAAGGATTGTGGTATGGCCATCCTCCTTGGGTGGGGATTTTTCACTTTCTGTCTCTCTATCTCTTTCTGTCTCTCTGGTGAGCACATGCACCCTATAGCAAAAAGATCTCACTCTCAAAAGAAAAATATTATACTATGGTCATGGTTATACACTCTATGAATATAAAAATAAATCACTGAACTGTATGCTTTTTTTAAAAAAAAAGTATTTAATTTTTAATTTGTTATTATTATTGTTTTAATTTGACCAGAGAGAGATAAAGAAAAAATGATAAAGCAAGCTGCCAGGTCTGGGATTTGAACTGTGGTCAGACATGTGCAAGTCTAGTACCTCAATCACCACATCACCTGCCAGCCCCTGTACACTTTTTTAAAGTTTTGCCAGAGGGCATATGTGCTTGCCAGAGAGAGAAAGAGAGAGAGAAAGTGGAGAAGTATATCCCATGGGAATGGTCACTCCACAATCCCTTCTCGTCCCTCTCTACTTCCTTTTGGGATTTTGAGCACACATACACATGCACCTGGTCTGTTTCCAAAGCCATTGGGTTTGGGACTTGAACTGCGTGGTTGGTCATGTAAGATGGCAGACTAGCCATCTTAACCACCATGCCATGGGCTGGTTCAAACTGTACACTTTAAATAGGTGAACTGTATAGAATGTGAATTATTGGGTTATCAGAAGAGTCATGATGTATTTTTTCTGTTTTTCTATGTAAAATGTGTCATGACCTTTCTGACAACCCAGTATATCTCAATAAAACAGTTGACAAAAAGTCCAAGGCTCAGACTCAGATGGTGCATTCCATTCCATACTGATTTACTGTGCTGGAAGCCACATAGTTGACCACAGGTTTGGATCCCATGGTCAGACTGAGACATGGAGGGTGTTGTTTATGGTGTGTCCCAGACCCTGGTGAGCTAGAGTGCTGGGGAAAAGGGATCGTGGTGTGACGAGATCCTGCCAAGCGTGCCTGTTTCCTGCCCCCCCCAACATCCTTCTCTCCCTCTTTCTCATGCACACATGTGCTATTACGAATAAAATAAATGAACTTAAAAAAATAGTCCAAGTTGGGGCGAGCAGGAGGCATCGTGGTTAAGGTGCTGGATTCCCACGTGATCAACCATGGTTCAAGTCCTGGACCTGTCGGCTTGCTTTCTCACTTTCCCTTTCTTTCTCTCTTTCTGTCTCTCCCTGGTGAATTAAAAATACCAATAATAATAATAATAAAAATAAATAATTCTTTAAAAAATAGTCCAAGTTGGACATACTTAGGAAATATCCTAAGTAAACATACTCTCTTTTCTGCCTTCATTTCTATCCTTCCTTCCCCTCTTCCTAGCCTTCATTTATTTGAACATTTTCAAGCTATGTTATGGTTCCCTCCCTTTTAAAATCTAATATTTTTGAGGATTCTGCTAACTATGAATGCCCTTCAAGGCATGGAGGAAAGGAAAGACTTTTTAAGGTCACCCTGGAATAAATGGTCTATTTGTAAAGTGGTGTAATATGATTGCCCAATCAAATGAGATCAAAGGGTTTAATGAGGCCTATGAAGAGGAAAAGTTGAAAATCACAGACTCACAGACCATGGCAGAATCTGGATGAAAGGTGAAAATTTCAGCCTCATGCCTGCTGTCTAATCCCTACCCGCTGGGCTTGGGCCATCCTAGAAGGCAACCTCTGAAAGATCTCTTGCAACTTGAGAACGTTAGGTACAGACCCTCATCCTTGGTGAAGGACAATAAAGATGAGTTTCCCAAGGTCACGTACATGCATTTTTGGATGACCAGTTTTGCAGAAAATATATCTGGAGTGTTTTCATCAGGATGGCTCCAATAGTCCTGAGCGAGTTGACTAAGAATCTAGAGATTTGGAAGTCATCAGATTGTTAAAAGTAGTTTCCTCAGCTTTCTTCTGAATTCTGGAAGGTGTCTTGGTTAAAATATTTTGAATAATATTTTTAAAGTTTTTTTCCAGGGACTAGCAGATGACGTGACAGTTACATCACTGAACTCTCACATAGTTGACGGTGGTTTGAGTCCTAAACCTGGCAACTTAAAACTCATGCCAGGCAAGTGTGCATGTGTGCCCCAGACCCTGAGAGTAGAATGGAGGGGAAGGGATTGTGGCATGGCCATCCTCCCTAGAGGGTGATTTCTCATTTTCTGTCTCTCTGGTGAGCACGTGCACCCTACAGCAAAAATCACTCTCAAAAAGAAAAAAAAAAGGTTTTTGCTATAGGGCATGTGCTGTTGCTGGAGAGAGACAGAGAAAGGGAAAGTGAAAAAGTACCTCCCACGGATGATGGCCACACCACAATTCCTTCTCCTCCATTCTTCCCTCAGGATTTTAGGCATGCATGCATACTCACCCAGTGCGTTCTTTAAGCCACCAGCCCTGGGACTTGAACTGCACAGCTGGCCATGTGGGATCCAGCCATCTTAACTACTGAGCCACTGGTTGACCCCCAATTTTTTTTAATTAATTAATTAATTTATTTTTATTATTAGTTTTTGAATTTGCTATGGGGCATGTGTGCTCACCTGAGAGACAGAGAAAGGGAAAGTGAGAAAGCAAGCCATCATATCCAGGACTTGAACTGCAGTCGGCCATGTGGGAGTCCAGCATCTTAGCCACTATGCCACCTGCAGGTCCCCAAAACATTTTTTTAAAAAAAGGTTTTGTATTGATTTTCAAATATACCATTCCCAATTATGATGATTATAGAAAAGGACCACTAATTCTTTTAATCCTCTCTACATGCCCATCCTTTCAAAGTGATTTTGCAGCTTCTCCTGTGAAGACATGGAATCTGGACCCAGTCTAATGGCAAACTGAACTACAGTGCTGGAAGCCACATGGCTGACTGTGGGTTTGCATCCTCTGGTTGGTCTGTAAATATGCTGGGTGTGTGCATACATGTCCAAGATCCTGATGAACTGGAGGCTGGTGGGAAGAGGATTTCATTGTCACAAGACTCTGCTGAGAGTGTGTCTCCTTCTCTCATGCATTCACATATGCTCTCTATTGAGAATAAAAATAAACTTTAAAGAGAGACATTGGAGGGGCCAGCAGGTGGTGTGGTAGTTAATATGCCAGACTCCCACATGGTTGCTCTTCGAGTCCAGGACCTGGTAGCTTGAAAATCACACTGCATTCATGTTAGAGTATATGCATACATACATGAGCAGGAGAAACAGGGAGAGAGTGTGTATGGGTGTGTGTATGCCCAAAATCCCAGGAGGAGAATGGAGAAGAGATTGTGGTATGGCCCACCCCTGTTGGGGGGTGATTTCTCGCTTTCCTTCTGTCTCCAGTGAGCACATGCACCCTGTGACAAAAACTTAGAAAAATAAAAAAAGAGGGGCCAGCAAGTGGCGTAGTGGTTGAAGCAGCTGGACTCCCACATGGCTGACCACGGTTCAAGTCCTGGACCTGGCAGCCTGCTTTCTCACTTTCCTTCTCTCTCTGTTTCTCTCGGGTTAACTTCAAAAAGATAAATAAAATAATGACAATGAATAAAATTAAAATAATTCTTTTTAAAAAAGAGACATGGAGGGACCAGCAGTTAGCGTAATGGCTATGTCACTGCACTCCCACATAGTTGACTGCGGTTCGAGTCCCTGACCCGGTGGCTTAAACTCACGCCAGGCGCGTGTGCGTGCGTGCCCAAGATCCTGAGAGGAGAATGGAGGAGAAGGGATTGCAGCATGGCCATCACCCCTGGGGGGTGATTTCTCACTTTCTATCTCTCTGTCTGTCTCTGTCTGTCTGGCGAGCGCACGCGCCCTATAGCAAAAACCTCTCCAAAAAAAAAAAAAAAAGAAAAGAAAAAGAGATACGGAGTCTGTTCACCCCTCAGATCTAGATGTGGTCATGTGTCTTGCCTAAAATGTGACATTAGAATATGTGACAAGAAGAGACCTGCAAAGTGCAGCAGCAATGCTCTGCTTGAGACACACTGTATCCTACATGGCTGTCATGGTTTGAATCTCTGGTCTGGTCAGCCTGAAACTTGCTGGGTACATTCAGGAATGTCCAAGGTCCAACCAGCTGAAAGGATAATGCAGCGTGACCAGGCCCTGTGGAAAGTACTCCTCTCTCCCTCTGTTTCTCCTGCTCATGTATGTATGCGTGTACTCTAACACAAATCAGAAAAAAATTTAAATGTTTGTTTGTTTTTAGAAGTTTTTGCCTTAGGGCAAGTGCACTTGCCAAAGAAACAGACAGACACAGTGAGAGGGAAAGTGAGAAATCACTCCCTGGAGTGGTGGCCACATTGCAATCCATTCTCTATTCTCCTCCTGGGATCTTGGGTACACACACATGTACCTGGTGTGAGTTTCAAACTGCCAGATCCAGGACTCGAACCACAGGTAGCCATGTGGAAATCCCATGATGTAATTGCTACATCATCTGCTGGTCCCAATGTTTGTTTCTTTTCTTTTTTTAAAAGTTTTTGAAATATGTATATATGTAGACACACAATTTGGAATTTTATCCTACATATGTGAGCTGATACTAAATATTGATGCTTTATAATCTATTATGTTTTACCTTACATTATTGAATGAATATATTTCCACGCATATGTGAAAAACTTCCCAATTGAAAAAACAGACCTGGAAAATGGGCCAAAATCCAAAATTCAGTAAGTTGCTGGTAACAAGAAAACTACCTAAAGCAAAATTCCATCGGATGATTAAAAGTAAAATTAAGGTCAAAGATACATCAGAAAACACTAACAGAAAGAAAGCAGGGGCCAGATTTTAGTATCAGACAGAAAAGAACTCAAGGCCTAAAGCACACTGGATAAGGATGGCTGCGTGAATGTCTTTGCTTCCAATGCCTCATCGTGAACTTGTTTCTTACTCTTCTTATCTCTTCCCTAAGCCTTTCCAACTCCTCTACTGCTCTGGTCATTTCTTCAGAGTCCAAATACCTAATGGGAGTGTCCTCTTTTAATCCCTGGCTGGGCTGAGTTGGACCTGCTCTAAGATTTCCTTCTGGTTCCTGGTTTACACCTTCTTCGGAAGGCTGAAGGCTTCCTTCTGCCTCTTGTGGTACATTTTCCAAAGGGCAGTCTTCCTCTACCTTTGGCATGTTCTGTGGTTTTCCTTCACCTTCTTCACAAGATTTTTGCATGTTGACTATTTTTTATTATTTCCTTTTCAAATAAATTAATCCTGCAGGGATCCAGGGGACTTTCTTCCCTCTTCCCTCACCTCTTTGTGTCACGCCCAAAAGACCCAGAGTCCTGAAAGGATCCGGGGCACTTTTCTGCCCCGGCAATAGAGAGCCCCAGGACCAGCAGTTAGTGTAATGGCTATGTCGCTGGACTCCCATGTAGTTGACCGCGGTTTGCGTCCCGAACCCGGTGGCTTAAAACTCACACCAGGCGTGTGTGCATGTGTGCCCAAGATCCCGAGAGGAGAATGGAGGAGAGGGGATTGTGGCGTGGCCCTCTCCCCTGGGGGGTGATTTCTCGCTTTCTGTCTCTCTGTCTCTGTCTGGCGAGCGCACACGCCCTATAGCAAAAACCTCTCCAAAAAAAAATAGAGAGCCACAATGTTTGTTGTTTTAAGCCACCATATTGGGAGCAGATTGTTACACAGCAAATGCTATCTGATACACACAAATATTCTGGAACTTCTTTATTATTGACATAAAATAATTTTACATATTTGTGGAGTATAATAATTTTTTCAGTATAAGAATATAATATGTATGATTAAATCAGGGTAATTATTATGTCAATTATCTGAATGTTTTATGTTGGGAAGGAAGTTTTTTGGGGGAGGAAGTTTTTAAAATGGCTTATGTAACTGAAAAAAAAAATCATACATCAAGATCATTAGAAACCATAGTTAACAGGATTTCTTGAATCATTTTCAAGACACCAGAAGTCTATCAATTGCTTACTGCTGCATTAAGACTTACCCTGTGTTGACTCTCATAGGACAGAAATGAACCACACATGCATTGGAAGAGAACAAAAGGAAATTTAACCAACTCTCCTAGGGCTAAAGCTCCAACTTCTTTCAAGCCTGCAGAAAGCTAGTGACTAAGAGTAGTTCCCCAGAGGCTTTCCATGGTTTCTAGGTTCCAGTGATTTCTGATAAATTAGAAGGACACTTCTCTTAATGCCTGCGAGGCCACATCACAAGCTATTAACTGCAAGAGAAATGAATTTTATCCATGAGTGAATGAAAACTCTGCCCAAGCCATGTACAACAGTAGTTCATTTGGGTAAAGAAGGCGAGGTGAGGGCAGGCAGGTGGCTCAGGGTCAAGGTGGCTGTATCCCACATGGCCAGCTGAGCAATTTGAGTCTTGACCTGGTGGCTTGAATAACAAGCCGATAGGTAGGGACAGCTGATAGTGTAATGGTTACATTGCTGGACTCCCAGTCAATTGTGGTTCAAGTCCCCTGCAGCTTAAAACTCATGCCATCATGTGTATGTGTGTACCCAAGATCCCAAGAGAAGAATGGAGGAGAAGGGATTATGGCATGGCCATCCCCTCCAGTGGGTGATTTCTTGCTTTCTGTGTCTCTCTGTCTCTCCAGTGAGTGCAAGCACCCTGTAGCAACAATCTGTCTAAAAAAAAAAAAAAAACAAAATAAAACAAGCAAGAAAAACACACTGGGTGATGGGCCAGTAGGTTGCGTGGTGGTTAAGGTGCTGGCCTACCACATGGCCTACCGCTGTTTGAATCCTGGACCTGGCGATTTGCTTTCTCACTTTCTCTGTCTCTTGTGAGCACATGTGCCCTATAGCAAATTAAATAATAAAAATAATATAATAAAAATAAAAACAATTTTAAAAAGAAAAAGATATTGGGGGGGCATATTTGTGATTGCCCAAAATCCCGAGAGGAGAATGGAAGAGAAGGGATTGTAGTGTGGCCATCCTCCCTGAATGGTGCTTTCTTACTTTCTCTGCTGAGTGAGTGCATGTGACCTATTGCAAACTATAAAAAAGAAAATAATAACAAAGAAAAAGGCTAGATGATCAAGGATCCACTCACTGCTTGGAATTGCATGGGTCAATGGGGATGGCCTTTGATGAAGACCCCATCTTTCTGGCCTGTGGGTAAGCAGCCATCAGTTCTGAATAGGAATTCCCACCATTCCAGGCCAAGTAAGTGAACATGCATAAACTAAGAATTAGTCCCAAGTCAAGTGAATGGCCCAGCGTGGTGGCACAATCTGTAGCATAGGAACTGCAGTGCTGGAAGCCACATGGCTGATGGCAGGTTCAGATCTCCAGCTTGGTCTAAAACTGTGCTGGGTACATGTTCAAGTGCCCTCGATCCTGGTGAGCGAGGGCTGGGGGAAGGGGATCGTGGTGTGATAAGGCCTTGTAAAGGTATCCCCACCCCACCCCACCCTGTTTGTGCGTACAAACTCTCTATCACATATAAAATAAACTAAAAAATTTATCAAGTGCCTGCAACACACAGGCTTGCTCTATGTGGATGGTGATGGTTGTAAAGGGCTTTGTCTACATCTATGGCTCCTAGGTTTGACCAATATGGTGTTTCTGCAGAAAACAGTACAAACATGGGAGAAAGACATGCAAGAGTGAACTTCCTGAAACAGGCCTTTCTTTTTTATTTCTGTGGTTAAAGGCTCTGGACTCTTACATGGCCAACCATAGTTCAAGTCCAGGACCTGGTGGCTTGCTTTTTCACTTTCCCCCTCTCTCTCTGATAAAACTGAAATAATAACAATAAATAAAATTTTTAAATGGCTGTTTCTGGTTGAATAGAAGGAAAAAAAAATGGTGAAGACAGTAATAGATTGTACTTTGGGAAAAGAGGTAGGAGGTGTCAGGGCAAAGCAACAGCAGAGGCTGAATTGCCCTGGGGCTGGGCTTCCTGCTGTGTGCCCTCTGGGAACTCTCAGTTCCTTCTCTGCTCCGGTGTTGCCCTCTCTAAAATGGAGTGAGGGCCAAAGGAAACAATGCATATAAAAGAGCTTTGTAAACCACCAAAAGCTATAAAATGGTAGCAATACTCACTGATACTCTTTTTTTTCTTTTTGAGAGGTTTTCTCTATAGGGCATGTGTGATCAACAGAAAGACAGAGACAGAGAGACAGAAATCAAGAACTCACCCCCCAGGCGAGATGGCCACACTGCAATCCCCTCTCCTTCATTCTCCTCTCAGGATCTTGGGCACACACACACACATGTGCCTGGTGTGAGTTTAAGTCACTGGATTGGGGACTCAAACTGCGGTTGACTACATGGGAGTCCAGCGACATAGCCATTTCACCAACTGCTGGTCCCACTCACTTATACTCTTAACTCTTTATTTTGTAAGATTTTTTTTGAGAAGATGTTTGCACCTTAGGGTATGTGTGCTCTCTGGAGAGAGAGAGAGAGTGAGATAGACCCAGTGAGAGGGAAAGTGAGAAATCGCCCCCTCCCCCTCAGGGAAGGCCACACCTCAATCCCTTCTCCATTCTCCTCCCAGGATATTGGGCACACACACACACTCCTGGAATGATTTTCAAGCAACCAGATCTAGGACTTAAACCGCAATTGGCCATGAGGGAGTCCAGTGACGTAACCGCTATGCCATCTGCTGGCCCCTATTTTGTAATTTTTTTGGGAAAAGATAATATGTGAAATGTTAAAATAAAATTTCAAACAGGTCAGAGGGTATACCGTACATAAATTTTCCTCCTGTGATCCCTAGCAATACTTTTTTTGCCCCATCTGGAGATATTCTGTGCATCTATACACAGTAATATACACAGATGCACATATACTCAGGAGAGGGCCTCAGAAAGTTCATAGGAATTGGAATTAATGCATGAGTTTATTATGGTACAAGAAGACCTATGCATAGTTTTCCATTTCTTTCTCTTTTTTGTCTTTTCTTTCTTTTCTTGGAGAGATTTTTGCTACAGGGCAAGTACGCTCCCTGGAGAGACAGAGAAACAGAAAGTGAGGAAATCACTCTCTCTTGAGGGGATGGCCACACCACAACACCCTCTACTGCATTCTCCTCTTGGGATTTTGGGGGCACTCATGTACCTGGCATGAGTGTCAAGTCGCCTGGTCTGGGCCACAAGTGGTGATCAGCCATGTAGGAGTCCTTAACCACTACAACCCCTGCTGTCCCCACCCCACCCAAGATCTTAGGCATGCACTCACATGCACCCAGTGTAAGGTTTAAGCCACCAGGCCCAGAACTTGAACTGTGGTGGACCACGTGTGAATCCAGCAATGTAACCATTATGCCATCTGCTGGTCCCAACCACTTCATTTTTCATAATACACATTTTCCATGAAATACAATGGAGTCTTCAGAAAAATACATCTACTTCCCTTCTGTTTAACACAAGTAAGTGCATACCATATAGTTCTCTCTCTCTCTCTCTCTGTCAGAGAGGTTTTTGTTATAGGGTGCACGGCTCGCCAGAAAGACAGAGAGAGAGAGAGAGAGAGAAAGCAAGAAATCACTCCCAGGGGATGGCCATGCCACAATCCCTTCTCCATTCTCCGCTTGGGATCTTGGGCATGCACGCACATGCACCTGGCATGAGTTTAAGCCACTGGGTCTGAGACTCGAACCGCGATCAACTACATGGGAGTCCAGCGACATAGCTATTATGCCAACTGCTGGTCCCCATACCATACATTTCACACGTTTATTAATTTTATCTTTTGTGTATTTTTTGGCTTAATGACAAGTCTTAAAGAATCATTTGGATCTGTACAAAGATCTTTTTCATTTAACAGCTGAGAATATTCCATTATTTCATTGCATTTGGGACACTGGACAAGGTATTGAGTTGTACTCACTGATAAACTTTCTATTTAAAAAAAAAAAATTTCCAGAGAGCACATGTTTTCATTGGAGAGACAGAGAAAGACAGAGAGAGAGAGAATGCAACCCCCCCCCCATGGTGAATGGTCACACTGCAATCCTTTCTCCATTTCTCCTACCTTTTGGTATTTCAGGCATGCATGCAGCATGGTTTTCAAGTTGCCAGGTCCAGGACTGCAATAGTGCAGTCGGCCGTGTGAGTTCCAGCAGCCTTAACCACCGTACCACCTGCTGGCCCAAGACTTCCTATTCTTTTACTGTTCCAAATCTCTCCCTGAGCATGCATCTTTTCCCCATTGGTCCAAAGGGGAGGCGCAGTGTCAGTTTTGCTAGGCACTGCCAGCTTGCCCCTGCAGGTGGTGACAGCCATCTTCACTTATCCCTTGAATTAGGAAACAGGCAGTCACTGGTGGAGCCGGCTCCCTCAAGCCTTGTGTTTGAAGAGATCGAGG